AAAAAAAAACAACAAAAAAATCTGAAAACTAAGACCAACTAGTAATGCTGCTGTCTCGCAACTGAGAACGTACTATCAGCTACTCATCTGCTTTTCCGAGTTCACGGATCATTCCACCTTTTCCCGACGAGATCGAGTTTCGATATATTTACAACTCAATCGATAGCCTGAAATCAAAAGCATCGTTAAGGAGCAACTTTGATTCGCTTATATTTCGATGGCTTTACAAAAGTACCCACTCCCTTGCAATAATTCAGTCACGCACGAATTCAAACATTCTTGCAGCTCCGAAAACCCGTTTCGGAAGCAGGAAAGCAGAAGTTTTCGTTTGGAACATTGGTGGAACTATGGCATCCTATGTCAATTCGCAATGTTATGGACGACTGCTTGAAACTAAGCCGAATGAGCCGAGCGAATCATCATGAGCTTTTCATCACAGTTTTTACATCCTTCAAACAAATAATTGTATGAGGACAATAAATCTTGGTTGAACTGCTTGTCATATCCATCCACTTATAACACCAACTTCTTCTAAAGCTCATTTCTCCTGGTGTAGTCGACCACTACTGTCCGGTGTGGTNCAATTCGCAATGTTATGGACGACTACTTGAAACTAAGCCGAATAAGCCGAGCGAATCATCATGAGCTTTTCATCACAGTTTTTACATCCTTTAAACAAATAATTGTATGAGGACAATAAATCTTGGTAGAACTGCTTGTCATATTCATCCACTTATAACATCAACTTCTTCTAAAGCTCATTTCTCCTGGTGTAGTCGACCACTACTGTCCGGTGTGGTGCTGTAGGACAGGTCACGATCGACCCCTTGGCGGGAGACACTGATTGAATATACACAACGGAGAGCGGAAGCGGTAATGACTATCCTACAGCACCATACCGCACAATAGCGGTCGACTACACCAGGAAAAATGAACTTCACAAGAATTTGATGTTATTATATTTAAGTCGATGAATATGACAAGCAATTGTACCAAGATTTATTGTCCTCATACAATTATTTGTTTAAAGGGTTATAAAACGGTAATGGGAAGTTCATGAGAGAGTGCTCGGTCTCATTCGCTGAGTTTCAAGTAATCGTTCATAATTATTTTGAATAGATATAGGATGCCATTGTTCTACCAATGTCTTTTTAAGCAATCGCTATAGTTTCCAGGTTATAATCAAGTTGCTTCAAGTTCCTATTTCCAATATGATTCATTCTCAAACTACAACTACTCATTCGGGCTGCGATCTAAAAAACGCTATTCAGATATTTCTTATCGCATATGGGTAACGAACAGGAGAACATTTCTCAGGACCCAACAGCGATAACCTTGAGAGTTTTGATTGTTTCACGCAGACCCACTATAGCCATGTGTCCGAGAAGATGAAAAGTGTGGCCAACAGTTAATCGACCACACTTGTCATCTCCTCTTTGGACAATTTCAACTTTCTCTGATTGATAGCTACTGTGGACTTATAAAAAACGCTGAAAGACAGTAAACAGACCGACCATAACCGAGTCTACCCAATACATTCTTTGACCTCGTTGTACATTGTACCTTTGAGAGTAAGGAACACTAAAGCGCGATTTCTAGTACATCTAGAAGTGACACTTCCAAGATCGTTGAGACAATCGTGCGCTCTATAATCCATTGCCAACCGGATGGAAGAAACCCCGCTATGGTGAACGATCATTCATCTTCTGATGCAAGAAATTCAACCAGTTTCCATTGCTATGAAAATCTGAATGTCTTGCAAAAACTAGAACAAATCTGTCATTCTTTAGGAAAGATCATGCTCCCTTAGGTGGTCAATTACGGCCGCGCGCTGACGTAGAGCTTTAAAACTTCACTCTCCCTATTCCAGTACCCACCATCTTCGCTCAACGGAACCAGTTCATCAGTTTCTAGGGAACCTGAACTGGTTCAACTGAGTTTATTTGATGTTCTCAATTAAAGAAAAGACGATTAGACCAGAACTTAAGCCAATGATCAGGACCACTCAGACCACAATCAGCACTGCGCAGAAATTTACTCAGAGTCGAGTATGGCGAATATCTGTGGGCAGTGAGTCACAATATCCGCTAGTTACTTTTGCCATCCGCTAGTTCAAATCTCACTTTATCCCTATCGAACTTCGTAATCAGCGAGGACATTCCGCTACCGTAAATCAGTACATATTTCACCATACTATGATGAGCCCCAAGTCCAATTAATTACTTCCCCCATCGAATCGAAGGTGTCACCTTCGATTCGATGGGAGAGGAAAGGAAATATTTTTTCGAAGCTGCTATGAACCCAACTCCTTGAGACCGCCTAACACCATCTCAGAAGACTCAGAAACTATGTACATCCTCTTGTAAGCTTATAGGATGCCATCGTGAGAGAAGAGCAGCTGCTCATCGAAGAACTGCACAGGTTGCTTAAACCGATCCGACTACATAGGTTTCAAGCCTTCCTTCAAGAGATCTAATTGGCTCGATTCTAACAACCGACTTTGACGCGGTTTTTCCCGGGAATCTTCCAAGTAGTCAGAAACAGAAAAGTCAAAACGGGCCACCCCATGAATAACGTCCTCGCAACAAATTGAATAGTGTAAAGCATTTTCATTAAAAGTACATCTTTTCCGACGAGCAAAGTAGAAATCCTTGAGAGCCTGCGATGACATCCACGCAGGGTGGAACCGGCTTCAGCGGGTAGAAATTTAGGTTTCTTCGTGTTATATTGATGACTGTCAGTCTATGCTCTCTGTGACCACGTACAAAAGGGGAATGGCAGCATACCAAAAGCCCTACATTAGTAGTAAGTAATAGTAGTAACTAATGCANAAATTACATTACAAACAACTTAACAGTGTTCAGCAACACTGTTAGGTTGTTTGACCCAAACAAAGAAAAACTCTGATCGTTCAAACTCAGCTTTACTTCAGAGAATCAAAGGATAAAGTTTTTGACGTTAATTCATCCCGTCTGAGGGATGCGCCCCGCATTCGAGCGTTGTGGCCTATTCAATGAGTTGCGGTAACTGCCGATGTACAAGTCAGTGCTCCTATCCTCCCAAACGAGTCTGCTATCGATTAAGCGACCCCGGAGGGATGGAAGGCTTGGTTGGCCTAGGCGGATACCGATCAGGGATTCGAACCCCTAACCATGCGTGTGTGGTAGTGCGCCACTTGCCACTACACCACCTCCGCCCTACTTCTGAGAATTACGAATGCTTAATGGAGAAGATGTCGTAGGTCCTTTTCCAGTTTCCACTCTGCATCATGGCTCAATGAGAATTTGGGAGCAAAATTAAAAATTCCAAGAAAACCACAACCTGAGCACTGCAACTCAGTTTTCACGTCTTCAACGCAAGACTAGAGTGAAGCATTGACCTATGCAAAATAACGCTGCGCACTTGCAGGGTCATTTCGCAAGGTTGCAGAAAATCGTTCCGTATATCTGCACTTGACCATAAAAACGTGTTTACCTGTTCCAGAACTCAGGCCGCCTTTACACTGTGNTGTGCACTTGCTTAGGGTCGTACGTCACCCAATTTTTCATTGCCTGCACGAACGTTCCTAATTGTTCAGCGAATAGATTCCTTCATAAAATAGTCAAAGGCGAAAAAATGTTACCGATAGGGCGGACATGAATAATTTGATAAGTCCTTAACCATCAAAAATGTCTAGCAAGCGATAACTGGAAGGACATTTCCAAACCAACATCAAAACCAATGGAAGATGCTAGATAAGGGTTATTTGATAATCTTAAGCTTTTCGACAGGCGAAAACTGAGGACGCTCTAAATCGGAGGCATCATCCACTAAAATTAACCCTTTGACGACGATGGCACCCACCGGTGGGTGCCACTATGACTGGCGCATGGGACATTGACACAGAATTTTGGGTGTCACCATACTTTCTTGTTTCTTACCAATTGCTAAATTCAGTAAGCCAGTAAGAGAATTTTTTCCTGGGACAGTGTTACCCACCGGTGGGTGCCAGTCGCGCGCGAAAAGAGGGGAGCGTGGTCCCATGGGCGCGTGATGTCGAAATCCGCATTGTCGTCAAAGGGTTAAGGAGGTAGCAATACAACAACTCGTCACCAGCAATACTTCTCCCTGTTTTGATGCCTAATTATGCCTAAATTACCGAGGACCTAATAGTCGCTATCGACCAGAACAGTAACGACAAACAGTTTATCAACTCAGCAATTACCGCCGTTCCTTCACGGTGTCCAAAAAACGAGAAGTGGTACTCGTTGGTGATCCAAAAATTTATTGTATACTTAATCGTATTGACTCTTTCAAGTGGAGAATGAAAAATGACCGATACCTCTATGTTTGAAACGTTTTTACAACCTAAGCAAAGTTCACCTAAGCGCACCAGATCACTTTTCCGTCGCGAGAGAATAAAAGTCAGAAAACAACCTTAACGAAGTTGGAAGGTCTGTACTCGCTTCTACGAAGAAAAATCGAGCGAGATCCCGAAGAGTTCAATTAATCATGGGTAGCTCTAAAACGTGCTCTAATGAATGTGCAACACAGTCGGTGGAAAGTCGGAAGGATGCGAGTTCTCTTCGACAGTCTCCTCCAACAATTATGAAAACCGAATAACCGGACAACTCAAAAACAATCTTTCTTAGATTATTCCTAAGCACACGAGCGCCGAGGAATGCCGATCCAACATGTCCTTCGGATCAACCGCCCTATGCGGTCATGAAGGTTCACCGACTGACAAAAGAAATTAGAGTTTTGGACTAGCCGAAACCGCACTCCGGTAGTCGCCAGCACTAATTTTAAGTACATTGTTCTAATTGTGGAAGACTCAATGTCGGACTAGGGCCCAAACGTAGTGCTAGACGCCATTTCCTTGCAAATGAGGCTCGATTTGAATTCGACCGACTTCTCCGCTTACGAGTTTCTACTGATGGATGAAATCCCGCGTAGCAACCAAGAAGAAGTGCCCAACATCGTGTATCTTCTGCTCCAGCTGACTTCGCTGCATTCATGGCGTTACACAACGCGATTTCAGATTTCGTTTCAAACTGCTTTTGCTTCCTCCAGGCTCTGCGTAATAAACACCCGCAACAAATGGCAAACAGTTTGTTTGGAAGCTTTCCTCGTTTTAGCCGCACTCCCAATGCGGCCTTTTGGTCAGCCACCACCATTTCTGTTGTGAAGCACCTACAAACCAAAGCCAGTCCGTTACTATCAATATTTATCGGGTCAACCTTGTCGTCTTATCTGAGCGCTGGGCTGCGATTTCTAGTTCCCTTATCGTGTAATAAGTTTTATTTTTCTGCTGTTATGCTGGAATTTAGTGCTCGTATGAAAAATCTGAAAACACCACCAAAACAACAACGAGCCAACACGATTTCGCATAAGGATTTAGAATCAGCCTTCAGGATCACGTCTGGCAGTAGCATATTGAAAGCATTGAACTTCTTCTTTATTAGTCCACTGAGCTCAGCTACTAGTAAAACGGGGTTCCTGCGAAACCAGTAGCCTGGCTTTCCTGACAAAGCAAATTCCTGTAAGGCGTTCCTTAACCCAAACACTCACCAGTCCCCACTTTCTTTCTTCAAGCGGGAGTGTGATTTTTTGATTTTGTGACCAGTAGACGTGAGAGAGCTAGCTGAATCCCTTTCACGGAAACTTAACAATTAGCAATAAAAAAAAACACATGAAGGTGGCTGTCAAAAATGACACTTGGTTGCGCACTAATTACCGTAATCCTCCATTTGCTCCATACAACTACTACTGGTACAATAAAACATTGTTAGACAGAAATAGTATGAAGCAACGGTGAGATTACGGTAGGAATTTCGGAGTCGTGATTAAATGTTGCTCTTTCAGGGATGCAATGCTTATAGCCATCCTATTTCAAGCCTCCAACCTTCAGAAATGGAAATCTGTGAGGAGAACCCAGTCTAGACCTCACGTCAATACAGAAGAACCCATCTATTAACCTTGCCAACGGAACAATTTTAAAAAATGCTTCTGCGACAGAGACAAGACGCTGGCGATCTTACCTGAAGCGGCCAGTAATAATTTTAACGACGATTTATTAAGGAAGGCACAAGTGAAAGAGATGAGAGCGGTGTTGCAGACCAACATGGTCTGTGCTCTGATGAGATGGCGATCATTCAGCGCCTACTGCTTGTCAGCCATTTCTTTATCATATTCTGCATCTTCTCTCCTGGAAAGGATGACTTTTGGTGAGCACCCAATGTTCTCAACTTTAGTTCTTACCTTTGACAAAGGAGTGAATTATCGGGAACTGCATTCGAAGTTCCCTCTTCGCCTGCTCAGACAGCCCTTGATACCTATCAACTTCTTGCTGGACACTATTTTTTAAGTCAGCNGCAGTGAGTTTTTTACCATCAGCGATGGACACATGGATCTTACGAGCCATAGCGACTAACTAAAAAAAGTGTAGTTTTCACTATGCAAATTCATCAAAAAACAACGACCGACATCGTTTGCGTATTTTTTCGCTTCAGGTCCGAGAGCACCAATCCTTGTCTGGATATTTTGGCGATATTTTTCAATTCTATCACCAAGTTCTGGCGCTTTCGCTTTGAGGGCAGCCAATGCCTGCAACCATGGGACTTCTAAGAAAATCACTCCTATAAACATAATAAAGCTCAGATGTTTTCACACCTCTTCCTCACTTCGGTATTTGGCGAAGTTCTTAGCTATTTCCATGATCGCAGCTTTGTCAGTCTTAGATAAACTGTTGAGATAATTCTTCGCCTCCTTGGGCATGAGTTCTTAAATAAAACAATTTCAATATCTTTATGACAGCATCAAGACCAAAAGGAATAGAAGTATGGAACTGTTTCGGGTTGGTCAATCCCGTTTCGGAGGTACGCCCACGCACTCACTAACCATTCACAGTCACAGCATCACTTAAATGCTTATTGCAAGCCTACAGCTTGACTTCAGAGGTTTCCCTTATGCAAAATCCAGTGCATTAATCCTCCCAGACGAGTCTGGTACCGACTAGGAAACCCCTAGAACGAACGGCTGGATTGGCCAATGTGTGCAGCAAGCAAGTCTTGCCTATTGGCACAACAGCATACCTATGGTCAGAAGATGGAATCCAGGGCCGGTACTTTGCAGAACAGTTTCATATGAAAGTTTTTGGAATAAAAAACCAGATAATCACTGTTTGATTATAAGCGAATAGGGCAGCACGAAATAACCCACAATCCATAGAAGGGAAATAAAACTGGTGGGAAAAAACTATGCCATGTAGGGCTGTAAGGTTACCCGTGATTTCAAACCTGCGCAAAAAGTTATTGGTATATCTGGGCCATCCATGCTAGGCTCGCCTTGAACTCGCCTCGAACCTCGCTTGCTTAGGCACACTAGCGATCATCAAACAAATGGTCAGGGGATCGGATTCCAGACCGATACGACCAGGGCACCTAAGCCTACTTCCTCCCGCAATCGGTTTGTTTGTGCCGAACTCGCTATGGATGATAAATCTCCGGTCCCTGTATTTATAGGCCACATAGGCATTCAAACGCTGCTCAATTTCCGAATGGGTCAAAGCATTCCAAAAAGGGTGACTGATCATCGCCAAAAAAAACCTTGCTTCTCTCCCTAACTTTTCGCAACTTCGTGTTTCAAGCATAATATTCTCTAATTGGGAATGAAATGTAAAATTACAATAAAAACCAAACCCTTATACGTTGCAGGGATATCATCAATTTTGTAGGCGTGATCACTAGAAGACAAGGCCACAAGAACTGCGCCCAAAACGATTTCAAGGAACATATGCCTGAAAAGCGACTTCATTATAATGGTCTGTATTACTTTGAAAAGATAATTTGATTTCCATCAGACAAGGCCCTGACTCCCTATGAGAAATCCTGAAAATCGAGCAGGAGGTAAAATTGGGTGGGGTAGCGGGTGATATATCGTAAATATGGAGTAAATACGAGCAATGCCAGCCAGGGCGGAGATTGGGAGCTTGTTATTGTTACCAGCTTCAGTACTTAATTATAAACATTGCAGGCAGTCGTCCCTTCACAGGCTCCAAATATAAATGACGCTCAAGAATACAGCATACATACTATCCACCGCTAGCGAGTTTTTACAAACATGTCGTCACATGTTAAACTCCTCAATCTTCATCATTAATCTAGTGAGCACATCACAAGTTCAAGAAGGTTTCAGGTTAATAAGATAAGAGCGGGGCATGCGTGATGGCTGAAAGTATAAACGCTAGTGAGTCTCAGATCTCAAAGCATGTTCAGCTCCAAACCTTCGTAGATTAATTCGAAATAAGCTTAAATGATCCCAAAGGGCGAACTTTGTTTGTCCAGCTTCAACGATACGCCAGTGGAGAAGTAGACAGCGTTAGGCTATCCAGACCTTGTGACCACTGTGATCGCGACTTGTTTTGATGACAACGTAGCTGGTCAGCCATTACAATACGTTATACTCGAAATTTGATATGATAAACAATGGAAACGTAGGTCCCACATCAATTTTAGTTGAATGTCAGCAAACTTGGGAATGTCTTTTGCAGGAAAAAATCATGAGGATCTTGGAAAAAAAAACGAGAAAAAGAAGCAAAAAAGGGAATGAGCTTCTTTAATGGAAATTAGAACATCGAGGTGAAAAAAGAGTGACGGTGCAAGCCATCTTTCTGAGGCCTTTACAATTCTGCAACAGAATCATACCCATGGCGCATTCCCATTGGATTGTTCTGACTCTTCACTAACTACTTTTGACTGTTTCCTGAACTGTTATTCGAACAGGCAATGAGGGGGTAGATAAACCGGGCCTACGACGTAAGAGCTTACGGTTGCTAGTTCAATTCCCTGCTAGACCTTACCCTTTCAGCTTCCAAGTATGAACAATCCAATTCGAAGTATAAACTCTTCTGCTGAGAGGAAACAAGACCCTGCCAGCGCGTTTTTCAAGAAAAAATTGGTAGCTCAATTTTTTAGTACCTCTGCCAACAATTCCATCACTTTTATGAATAAAAATTATAGAAACACTAAGTAATTTTATTGTTGTGCTCAGATGGCCCCTGTGCCTCGATTTCTTCACTATATGTTCACCGATGAACACTACAGTGGCACGCTATCGTCACTGCACAGTATGAGAAAGTACCGAACCTAGAAACCTACTACCGTGCATCGGCACCTATCCACTGCGCCATGGTAGTCATAGCTCAAGTGATGGGAAGCGGCGTTAAGTATACTGTCATTAAAGGCATCCCCTTGCACTTTGGTAGTGTCACCTAGCAACTCTATTGATTAACCAGCTCTTTTCATGAATACATAACTCATTTCCGGGTGGGTTAAAACGAGAACTTTTTCCTGAATCACCTAATTTTCCAAAGTTTGACTTCAGAAATTTTGCAGCTTGAATTATTTTAATGAGCTTCCGCTTGTCCTTCTTCTAGTTAAAAAAAAAAGAGAAAGAGATAAGCAATTCTACAGAGATAGTTTCCCAACTCCACTGAATAATGGCAAAACCGAAAAATCCAAACATCCTGGCCGCCACAGATTTAGTTTCTAAACTATGGTTCTAGGTCTACGAGTCCGGTCACGCTTAAATACTTGGAAAATGATAAATCACTGGTTCAGACAGAAAGAGACGCAGAGACTTCCCGACATTAACTTTCACATTCATGCTTGAACGAGTATCGTCTAATTGCAGTTTGTGGTTTACAAAAGCTTCGTGGCTGACCTTACTGTGGTGAACATCGTCTCTCTAGGGTGACCCTCAATAAAAGTGTACGGCAGTTGAATCAACCGTTCATTCTCCTACTTACCCACGTTACCCAGTTGTGATATTACAGTTCAATTCCAAAAAAACTGATATCTGATGATACATAGACCTCCCGTTCCATGATGAAGTGTCAGTTATCTTCCCATATATGGTTTTGTGTCCATGGCTACCCAGTCCAGCAGGTTCTTGACGGTAGCATGCACTTCACATGATCGTCGCATGAGGGCGCACCCACGCCGGATACGAAACTTCCCCATCCTGGAACTATCATTACCAATATGGTTGTGCACGCTACCAAGCTTTAGAGCACAGTGTTCTGAAGTTCAGAAGAAAATGAACTCTGGAAAGAGCCGTGCATTCGAACTTCGTCCGAAATTAGGGAAGCTGGGACGCAGACAGTTGGATGGTCACGGTGAGCGACTCCACTGTACTTTAGCCTTTTCACTAGCTTTCTGCAGAAAATTTGATTTAAAATGATGGCCGATTAGCTGTCGGTTGATGTCTGTACTATTCTTGCACTAAATTCACTGCACTTTACAACACTTCCAATGAAGACCACTCAAGTGACAAACTGAATGCCTGGCTCTCGACAACCGCCAAATGAACTCTAGTTCGTGTGTGTTTACTGAATGAGCAAACCCATAAGTCGAGATGAGACGGCACGGTTCGAAAACAGCGGCGACTGACATCAGGCCACATCTTCAGCCATTGTCTCTAGACACATTTCCAAACCTCCAGAAGAATATTGGCAAAACCTTCTAATCAATCGGGACTTGGGAGGATAAGCTAACATCCCAACTAATCTTCTGAGAAATGTACCCGCAAGTCTAACAACAATCAATCGCTATTAGGATGCAGGGCCTAGCACATCATTGAAGGCCTAATTAGTGGATAGCGCAACCGCTAGCTAACCCATAGCCTAAAAACCGCTGGATGATGCAACAACATCTCTTCCAGCTCTTCACAACAACGCTCAGCTCGACCCTGCGCATCACTAATCGTTTCCCAGCCGTCTCCTAGCAAATGGCCATCTCTCTACTAGTCGATGGCCGGCCGACAACGCGCCGCTGCAGAGGCACCCTGTTTTTTTACTTTACTCAGTACGCTGGCTTTCATCAAACGTAATTCTTCAAGCAGGACACGCCTACCCGCGCCTGCCTTTTCCGTCTAAACGACTGCCGTTCCGATATTCCCATAGGTATTCAGTCATCGTAACGATTCCATGAAAAAATGTATGCATGGCGTATTCTGCCAGTTTGTTATCAATTATGGAATTGCTAAGGGAAGTCCCTCCAGGTTGTAATTAAAATATGCTAAAACCTTAGCTTATTTTATTCTAAAAATATTTTTTGCTTGTTTTTCCGTACAGAAAAGAGCTGTTGCTGACTATTCGGGATTACACTGATGTAATTACCCACTAATAAGCGAAACCAATTTATCAAATGTTAAAATCTTCACTTTGTTTCGAAAAAAAAGTGAAGCAGGTTTCCAGCGAATCAATAACGGGCGCCGGTCGACGGCACCTGCTCCATCAACCTTATCTCAGCTCTGCCCGGTCTTCTTATGTGAGCCACATATGAGACTATTTCTGGTCTTCTTTCCTGGGCCACATATGGGTGGATTTATTTTGGGCTTTGGGGAATACTTCACCATTTTTCAACCTTGATGGCCCTCTTTGATGCTATGAATAGCAAATTCCACTTGTCTTTTGAAACCCCCGCAAAATTCGAGGCTCATTTCGCTGTTATCCATCGACTAAACAATAAGGTTGGGCAGAATCTTCAAGAAAGACTTCCGATCTCTTACCAACTGAAAGCCCAAGGACGCACTGGGCAGATAAGACATTTGACGATGTACCTTGAACAAGTGATACTAGCCGTAGCTCAAATATTGACGCTAGAGCATCGCCCACTTGACAGAGCGACAAACGCTCACAGATTTGTGTTTGAAGGGTTCCATTTCGTTTTTAGCCCGAAGAGATCTCTTCGCTCAACAGGTCCTAGGAATTCCTTCTACCAATATACTTGATTCAGTTCATTCCGCACTGTTACTGTGTGGGAGGAGCTTGCGCCAGATGGGCGGAGCTAAGAAATTAGGCGAAGCGTTGCAAGACTAGTTACCCGAAAAAGATGAAAGAAAGTCCACGTCTGGGTTGGGCTTAATTGCGATCATACAAGGTCCGTATACCCGATTTGATGACCAGGATCGTCCTGATCATATAAGAGTCAATCCAAACAGAAAACGCAGAGCTCAAGCTCACCAGACTAAACTCTGAAGTTTAGTTTTCGCCAGAAAATCGATCTAGACAATATTTACCAAGACACAGATAACACTTTACTGCCTACCGGAACTCCGTGACGAGTGGTGTCCTTTGTTATTTCCTTTCCACACGGATACCCACTCTTTTGTAGAGTTTGTTATTTCGTTATCTACATAGAGAATGAATATCTCATCAAAAGAGTCTGTTTTTTTAATTGAAAACAGTCAACAGCTTGAGAAAGCGGTTCTTGGGTCAGATGGCGTCGGCATGGGCGACTCCGTCAACATGNTAATTATGCCTCAACATACTTTTTCTCGTACAATTACCGCATGCTATCGGTATCTCTCAATCTTATCACTCTGGAGTTTATACTACTTCCAATAACTTTTTAACATCATAGGATTTTCATAATCCATTCATTATTTCACGTTTTCGCCAAAACCTCCAAAGATTTTCACCTGACAACCCACAGCACACAATCTTATGTTGAGTATCCTATAGGATGATTCTCCTCAAAGAGTTTATATTGCTAGATATAATATTAAGTTACTTTTGGCGTACATCAATCCCGTTTCTGGGGTGCGCACCACATCCGACTTCCATCCAGAACCGCTGCGCCGGTTTGAATGCGTTTCTGGCCTGTACAAAGATTTGGGTGGCCAGAACGTTGAACATTTCAGTGATTTTATCCTCGTAGACGAGATCAGTACCCACCAACCGACCCTGATTGGCCTAGGCAGGTATCACTAGGGGGATCTGACCTTAGAACCATGTGTGTAGTAGTATACAACACGGCACTCAATCCAAGAAATAGCATAACAAAAAATTATATACAAAGGCTTGACTAAAAAATTTTCTTTGGGAAACCCACCATGGCCTTTTCCTCTTCTCCCATTTCAACGAAATGAAGTTGACCTCTTTACATTTTGTCTACTACGAAGTCAGTGAGTGTTGTGATGGCGATCTGTCATCGACCAAAGTTCATTTGTCGCTCTACTGCTCCCCCTTCTTTATCTCTGGTTTCGCCATCTACCCGGTTTCAGTTTCTACTTGAAAGACTTGAGAGTAACGTTTCTCAGCTTCCAGGATCCTATTTTTTATGGAATATTGTGGCTGTTTTCACAAACTAACGTACTGTGCTTTTTTTAGTCGAAGCTCCTGCTCTAAAGCAGTCTCCAGTATTCCTTTTTCTTGAACTGAATTCAAGTTCTCGATGACAAACAAATCGCTCAAGATGAGCCACGCTCTACGTTCCCTTCAAACTGTTGGTCTAGCCGGATTCATTTATGAGTCAAGGCTGTTAGAACTACAGAAAGATTTTAATCCATACCCTCTACAGAGATAAAAAGCTTGAAAGCTTGAAGCTTTCGAACCCTCTGAAAGCTTTGCGAAAGCGGTACAGTGCCTCTTAACTGAACTCCGCTATCTACTCTTCCAAAAGTACGAATATGATAGTGAGAAGGACAGTACCACGGCCCAGGGGCAATGTCGCAGCCATTACTAATACCCTTCGGTATAATTCGATATTTTTCTAACGAAACAACCTCCCAATTCTAGTCGCTACAGACTACCAAGACTGTAATACGCCGTAAACAAAGGCCAAAAGCAAGTTTTCAGGCTCTACTTGACAAAACCCACATTCCTTCTACACCACCCCAGCCCTCCACTCCTTTGGAGCCAAACACAACTAGATGACCAGCCTGTCACTCAGCTTTTGACCCTGATCACAAGCCCTCTCAAAGCCCTTGGAATGTCCGACTTGATTGGATGGTTCCACTTTGCACGATCAAACAGGCTGAATGATGTGTTGGATGAAGTATTACGTACAAAACTTCCAAGACGACGAAATTCCTCACGAAACAGCTGTTTCTACCTCTGACATTTCAAGTTCATTCACCTATTCTTCCGTTCAGATTGCTCACATATAACCGCCGGATTATATTCGATTCTAGAAGTTTCTAGAAGCTTCTTGAGTTTTTCATCTAGTTTAATCGGTCCTTTCTCCCAAGATTTCCCTGGCGATTCTACTGATCAAGTTCATTCTCATGAAAAATCTTTAAAAAATACTGTTTCAGATCATGGGTATAAAAATTGAGCCTAGTCAAAAATTACTGCCACAACTGCTTCTTGTGACCTCTGCAGTTATTATTGCCTTATTCTACTTCTTTCCTATTCTGCTACCAATTACGGCAGGATTGCTTGTGCTTGCTGTGGTGTTTTTGCGCAATAAGCCATGTAACCCCAATCATGTAAGTTATTATTTAACTAGCTGTCATACTGTTACGAAAGGGGTTCGTTTCAAAACAAAACAATTTTTCAGGTACGCAAATTCTTTGACGGCTTTCGAATTGGTGGTCATCGTGGAGCTCCAAAATCGTTTCCCGAAAATGGTATGGCTGGATTTAAGCAGGTAATGCATTCATTTCATAGCTCATCGCCTCGCCGCTACATTTACATCGGAAATTCCTCGGACAACTTCTCTGCAAGGGACAGGGGCTATGCTCCCCATTTTACTCGTCTCGCACTACCCTCCTGTCGACGAAATGTTCAGGTCAAGGCTAGTGTGACTCAAACAGAACTGAATTTCTGTTACCTTCAAGTATTAATAATAGTGATAATCAATCGTCAATAGTACTAAACCGAAGCAAAAATTAGCACATCTTCCAACCGTAATAGAAAAAAGTCAGCTAAAAATCAAAATTAGCTTAACGTCGTGATTAGGGGAACAAATTTTCGGCTAAAAACTACATCACGTTGGTAAAGATGTCCAAAAAATCGGTCGGCTGACCTGTTTTCTACTAATAATCTTACTTTCTCTTTGAAATAGTTCAATTTTATCATTATATTTCGTTAAAGAAGGAAAATTCGTAGCTAATTCTTTATGGTATTCTTTCGGTGTAAGTTTAGCGGTGTTAGATTAACGAATGTTTTTAAATAGTGATTAATGATTACCGTCAGGTCATTTGCATTTTTCATTTCCCAGGCAAAGACCGATGGCGCTGATTTGATTGAATTCGACGTGGCACTGACGAAAGACGGTGAGGCCGTGCTTTTACATGACGATGATTTGGACAGGACCACTAACCTGAGCGGTCCAATACGCGAAAAAACTCTGGCACAGCTAGCGCCCGCCAATATTAGCGCGAACTTCACCAGAACAACGTACAGCATTTGCCGTTGGCCTTTCGCTTAAAATGAATCCTTCGCTGAACATTTCAGAGAAGAATTTGCTTTCAGGCAAGGCAACTTGGCTCCGGTTCAAAATGAGGGCATTCCCAGACTTGAAGCGGTTGTTAAATGGGCAGTCGATAACGACATGAAAATGCTTTTCGACGTTAAGGACTCCGATCCTGAGGTCAGCTTGTTAACTGTACTGAATATGTGGGGGCCTCGACTACTAGGAATCCGTCCTCCAAACGCTTCTTACTCTTTCAGCTGGTGCACATTATCGGGAACCTGTTCGAGAAGTATAATCTCTATGATAGAGCAATCGTGTGCAGCTTCTACCCATGGGTGGTCTACCTTATCAAACAGGGTAATCAGAAAATACTTAGTGGTCAGTTAATTTACTTATAGCAACACCATATGAAACAGAAAAGAATTGAGAAATATGTCCCTGGAATGGAATATGCCTCGCCACAAATTCACAACAACCGCATGCCATTGTAGCGTTGTGGCAGGCTATTACACTTTTCAACTATGATTGGTCACTGCGTGTCCCACAAAAGAAATGATTTTTTTATTTCATATATAAAATCGAATTGTGAAAATCCTCAAGAAAATGACTGTATCTCAGAAGATGGGAATTGTTTTTCAGAAGAAGCATAACAGAAAAGATGGACTTTAAGCGAGTCTATTTCTTTTCCAAATCCAAAATTCAAAATAATTCAAGCTTAATCTGTTTCAAAATAATTATTTGTAGTGCACAAGATATGCTGTTCGGAAGTTTTTAAAAAGGAATTTTTTTAGGTCTCACTTGGAGGAGCAAGTTCTTCTCCTACAAGGACATCGAAAATACCCTACCCCGATACACTGGTCTACAGCACTACATCTTTGTTTTATTTGATATCATTCATGTATTTCTACTTAAACTCGTCACCCCATGGTTTCTTGGAGCCGATCTGCTGCTCACTAACAACCTCGACATATCAAAGTGAGCAATTTTTCAATTACTGTTAACATGGGTGTATCAGGACGATAGATTTGGGCGCATAAACAGCTTGAAAGTCGAGTGTAGGGAGAAAGGTCTATGAAATCAAAAGGAAGCAACGTTACGGGACAGGGCAGTCTAATAAATTATCGATTACAAAGTTTCAGAGAAACAAAAGCGATATTTGCTACCTACGCGCTTTTGCCTCCTGAGTCGAGCCAACTTTCAAACGTAACAAACATCATGAATAAGTTCAATACCAATGGGCTGCAGGAAAAATACTGCAAAACGACAACTCACAGTAATCATATTCCTTTCAGAAGCTTCGTGATGGAACAGAAAGAGCGAGGTCGCCATGTGGCTGTGTGGACAGTGAACGACGTGGCCGAGATGCATTGGATGCTTGAAGAATTGTCGATACCGATTCTCACCGATCATCCCTGCTATGCAAGCATTATGTCGCATTTGAGTGCAATTCGTGAAAAGAACTATAACGAGCCGGCTCTGGAATGTGCCGCCCACTGCAGCACATAGTAGAATTACTCCTTGCATTACTGGCCATTACCACTTTTGTACGTATGAGGGTTTTGTCTGGGAAATTCTTAGAAAATCGCTCGACCCTGCTTCTATCCCCTCCCCCCAGCAAAATTAGATTCTCAAACCTCTCCAAACCTACTTACCTACTCTTCTATAGAACCTCATCTTTACTACTACTCCTCATAGCTCAAGGTATTTTCTTATGTCATCTGCCTCATTATCATTGAAANAAAGCAATAAATTAGTGCTAGGTTTCCCCCGACACATTCGATGATAGGATGGGTAGTTGCTTATAGCACCAAGGTGTTCGTCACGAGTGTTCCATGGGTCCATTATTTTTATGTATCAATAAGAATAAAGATATTGTTTTCAGGCTCAAACACCTGTTCATTACAAAAAAAAATTGCTTTCTAAAATAATTTATACAGAATACCTGAGATCAATGGCAACCAAAATTAGAAATTAAGTAGGTAAAGAGCGGAAAAACGAGAAGAAAGCCCTATTCACATGAATTTTGGTATCGTCAAAATAGACGTAGCATACCAGTAAGTATCGTTTATGTATCGATAACATTTCGCACGATATACAACAGTGAATGAGAGCTATGGAGAAGAATTGAACAGCCCAAAATAATTTACTTTTCGATATTATATTATACTACATTATCTAGGAAGAATCCACTTTTTTTATGAAAGCAGCCAAAAGATATAGGAAATCACGACAAAATTATGTAAAATTTAATAGTTAGGCACAACCCAGGCGTTCACCACAGCTCCTCTTCTTTAACATTATCATCGTGGGTTATCATCTAAGGCCTGAAGATCAGGTTCCGAATCGGAACTGAGGAATTCCCTCGACGTTGACGGTGCAGTTCGTCTGTAATCTCAGGGAATTTTACGAGATGAAAGATGACATTTTGTATTATAACATATATGCTACATAAAAATAAAGGAATCCAAAAAATTACTTTTGCGAGAGCAGCGATTGCTCTTGCCGATTAGTGTACCGTCGAAATAATGACGGGTCGTAATTTCTTGTATCTCTGTCCGCTCTAAACTGAGCTGATTTAGAAAATACAGAACGACAAAATATAACAAACTCACAACGAGACGTATCGCCTGGATGGTGACGAAGATGATGGGCGATGAGACGAGTACCGCTGTTGTGAACTGTTTTGATAGTAAGATGATCGTGAAGGAGACGGATTTTCAAAACGGTGTGATCTGTCCTTAGGTACCGCATAGGAGTTCTTGAATGAAGACCTGAACATCAGCATAAGAGGGAGTACACAGTATCGCAAATCGATGGCAAGGTAAGTGGTAAAGAGAGTCAACAGGCATGGTTGTCGCGTAAACCTCAACAGTTCAATGAGAAAAATGAGAATTGAGCTATGGCCTGTCCAGCTCAGCTACCAAACTGTTTGTTGTCTCTTTCTATTTGTCCGTTATCAAACTGAAGCCGCTTACTACATTACAACTTTCAAACCAAAGCAAGCACACAGAGCAGAGCAGACAGCAGGGGAGCAGAGAGCCTGAGAGCATTTTACAAACACCGATAACTGATGTTCCTCATGAATGGAAAACTGCAGCAACCCATTTAAACCAGTCCAGCAGAGCATTAAAAACTGGGAGACGGGCAGTGGGAACGGTTTTGCGTAATCAACGCGGCTGTCGCGGACCTTTTGCCTCATTATATCAGTTCTAGTGTTCTTCATATAGAGTAGCGCTCAAAAGTATTCGGCGAAATGCATCTTCAGTTATAATTTTCAGTCGTAACTTTTTTCCTACTGGATCTAATCAAGCGAAATTTCAATATGTGTAGCATTGGTGTAGTGTGAATATTTACCACCATTAATCTGCAATCTTATCATGTTCCGAATATCCAAAAGGGCTTGAACAAAAAATCAGCTGGAAATACGAATG